ACCTCTTTGAGAAAATTCCCATTTGATGGTGTGAACAGTGTTTCTGTGTGTCCTCTTAGAGCCAAATTTCGAACTGCCAGTGGCTGTACAATAGCAGTGAGATGTGTCAGCACTGCTCTCCATCTTACCCTCTCATGCTGGGTAGACGTAGAGGCAAAGAGGTCTTCATCCTCAATATCAGATATTTGTGGAGACATATGAGTAGCTGAGGACATAGATGGTAGCTCATCCTGAAGAGTAGAGACCATTCCAGCAGAGTCCTGTGTAGTGGGGGAGGTGGGTGGCTCATCCTGACCAGTGGCAGAGGATGGTCCAAAATATTTTAGAAGTGCCCCTGAAATTGCAATTGAATTGCATGTTAAATTGATATCAAAATACTGTAGGTTACAATATAACTCTTATAAATTGCAAATTTAAATAAACATGCCCTTACATGCTAAATGTCTGTCATGACTTTTTAGACGCTATATTAATCTAATCTAATCTGATCTAATCTAAGGGAAGAACAATTAGCCCCTTGGTTAACCTACTGCCTCAAATTATATGCTTTGTCACATAACAGAGTTATAGCAAATGGCAAATGTTCATCTTTGAAACTACCTACACATATGTAAATTCCACTGGCTAATTACAGGGGCAAACATTAACCTGAATGATGGAAGCAAATAATAACTGTACTTGTAACAGTTTTGTTGCAAAGCACAATTTTCTGTTGAAATTAGATGTTGTGTGAGGAAAGACTGAATTATTGTTGTATAAGCATAGCAAGAAGGCTAACAAACATCAGAATTAATGTTATACCAATAAATTAACATTAGCCCTTTATTGATGACATGGATACCATAATCAATACAGAATGTAGTTGCATACCTTTATCATTTGCTCGTTTCTCCTCTTCTTCTTTTCTTTTTCCTAAATTGGTCACCTGACAGCTTTGACCTTTTTCTCTCCATCGCTGTTTTATTTATTTATTTATTTATTTTTTGCAATCGACAATCAACAGATTTCCCATCCCCCAACACTGTCACTCACGACCAGAAGTC